AATGATACATTTTGAAGAAATGTACATTAGTGAAAAATGTTACAAAAAACAAAGTAAAAATAATACTACAGAATACAAAAAAAAAAGTAACTTGAAGAATAGATGTAAAATAAAGCTTTTAAATGTAAAGCCAGCGTATTTAATAATATTTTAATAAGCAAGTAATAAATCTTCCTTACCTGGATGATTGTCATAGTCTGTAAAAACCGATGGAACACTACCTCTACGTAGGAGTAATTTATGTCCCTTAGCGGCTTCGTAATCAGCTCGTTTAAAATGTCTGTGACAAATAACCTGACCCGGTGAAGGTTTGAAATTCGCTTCAAATCCACCACTAGCCAACCATCTGTTTCTTAATATACTATCTTTCGGAAACTTGTGAAGCGGTAATCCTTTAACACGCGCATCTTGAACGTCGGTTTCACAGCTACGCACGCAACATTTGCGCGCCATTCTCATCGCCCCTACAGGCGGTATACTTTTAACATGCGACCGTAATACACGCCGTCGTTTCATTTACACAGGTGCTACATAGCAACGTACCGCAAAAATAACGTTTCTCAAGATATTCGTTAAAATAAGACATAAGCACAAGTTGAGCAATTGTGCTGCGATCACTTTGATACGCACCCTTCTAAGTATAAAGAAACTCGAATACTCCAACAAACGTTCGTAAAAACACCAAACTAGCTCATTTACGTATGCGATATCAATCGATTCACAGTTTTCGAGGAACGTCGATTTACGTTTATTTCGATATTAATGTGAATAATCGAAAACACCGAGTCTCATCGATTCTTGCCGAAACCCTAAAACTAACACAAACGTACAGTGATGGTGACTCTATGTGAAATGGAGTCCGATATAAATGTACGCTATCGCATGAACGTAGTTTTAATCGCTCGTCGTGCATGCACGTGAATTTAGGGCGTTCTGAAACTGGTGTCATGTGGCGCCCCATAGTGTGTTGCCGAAGCAATGAACAAAAGAACTCAAAGCATGTACGTACAATGTACAGTAAATTTCATTAATTACTATTTGCAATTATTCGTTAAAATCAATGTTTATCCTCGTCGCTATGCACAAAACATTGCTGAGGTATAAAACACTCGCTTTAAAGGAAATATGTATCGATAAACAAATAATGAGAACCAATCAAATTCATCCTTAAATAACTTTATATAGAATCTTTAATTTGATTGGAGACTTTTGTTTGATAAAGGATGTAAGCAAGAGATATGAAAATCTACGACGCCAAAAACATTCATTCAATTTTTTCTCCTCGTTCAAAGAGCTGAGACGTATTATCTTGTAATAAAATTATAGTTAAAATATTTCGTTTATTCTTATTCCAATTAAGTTATTTATTAGTTTATTAAAAATTTCAACATTAGATTTTTTCTTATTCATTAAATTTCCTAAACTATCGTGAGCAGAGTGCTTTGGCGCTCTACGGGCGGAAATTCCCTCAAATTCCTCAAGATGTACGATGACGAATGGCATACGATGCCATTTCACATAGATTCACCGCTGCTGTGCGTGTAGTTTTTGGAAAGAATCGATAACACTTAATGTTTATATGCATTACTCATTAAATAAATTCATCAATATGTGATACCCTCTTGTAATTTTCATAAATATATATAATAACATGAAATAACATTTTTACGTTATTATTTAAATTACTATTTCTTCAAATGCAGTCATATTTAGTAAATAAAGTTATCAATACAACTATTTCAATATTAGCATTGAATACAAAAGTTGTTTCAGATATCGTAATAGTGTCTTTATTTATAAAAATATTATGATTATAATACAAGTATAATAACGACACTGTATATAAATATGAGACATGCGATACATTTAAATAAAAGTATCTTACGTAACGATTTATTAAATCCATATTAAGGAATACTTCATGTCAACAGACTAACTAATAAAGTTACATTATTTATATTACATGTATTTGTAGTTGCTTTGTAAATGCTCCCCTAAGTTACATCACGTGATTTCCTCTGAACTCCTTCCTATTTGCTTTTTGACTGGATCGAGTAAACTTCGGTGCTTGTTCTCTTTTGTGGAGCTAAGGCTAAATCAGCGACTTGCACCATTATTATCATCCCATCCAGCTTAAGTGTAGATTATATACGTGTTAAACATGTCTACCAAATCTGAACTCGCTTGCGTTTATGCAATATTAATTCTTGTTGACGATGACGTCGCTGTAACTGTAAGTATCTGTCATACACATGGTTTTATATCATCATGAAAACTTAAAGTACAACTTATTGCTTTGTTTCTTATAATATCAATCAGAAAATTTCTAAAATTATGCGATTTTAATGCAGTTAACCTTTTACATATTCATTTATTGTGTAGGGTGAAAAAATCCAAACAATTTTAAAAGCTGCCAATGTAGATGTGGAATCTTACTGGCCTGGATATTTTGCTAGAGCATTAGAAGGAATTAATATAAAAGAAGTTCTAACAGACATTCGATCAGGAGTTGGCAGTGCACCAGTAGCAGGTAGTATAAGTTGTTCTTTTCAAAATGCTTTATATTTGAATTCATTAACTAATGTATGGTATTTATAAAAGTTTTCTAAAATTTTGTATCAACCTTTTGATTGCAAAAAGCTTGTATAATGATATTATAAATATAAAAAGAAATTTTTATGTTGTATGTTACATTAATTCTTTGTTTCATATAAAATTGGGTGAAATAAACAAAACATTAGTATTCTTTATAAACACCTACATTCTATGTTGACGATACTTTTTTAACATGTTTGTGTCCATAGCCCTCAGAGTTAATAATCCTCTACATCCACCGATCTATATAGTGTTACTTATTAGAACGGTCAGCAAAAGAGGAGAAAGAAAGAGGAATGGAAAGTTTTAGAAGTCATATTTTTAAATATGGCTAAAAATTTTTTATTCAACAATATAATTTATTATGTAAAATTCCATAAATGATCTCACAATAACATTTTTATCTTTTTAAAGCTCCAGCAGTTACAGCAGCTGCTACTACTGAAGCTGCACCAGCTAAGGAAGAAAAGAAGAAAGAAGAACCAGAAGAAGAATCTGACGATGACATGGGCTTTGGTATGTAATGCATTTTTGATATAATGAATAGAATAGTGATTGCAGTAAAAAAATACAGTACCTTCCAGTTATCATGTTTCAAATTAATTTAAAAATTGTTAAAAAAGTTTTTTTGTATAAAAAGTTTATCAATCTTAGTGTACCTATTTGTTATACATCGCTACATGTATTCAGATTGAATACAAATAATGGAAAAGTATTATAAATGTTCATATTCAATGATTATTATTATGTATTAGCTACTGATACTGTGCATGATGATATTGTGCAAAATGAGAATGCAACATCAATTATACATTACATTACAAAATGGAGAATTGTGTTTAATTTTGTGTATTTTTTTTTTTACAGGATTGTTTGATTAACTTCAAGGATCACAATTTATTGGTCCATTTATCTGTTTGTGCAGTTATTTTGTACAATGAATAAAACATTTTTCAACTACTCAATTGTATACACCTTTTTGTTAGAAGTTACAGAAAATCACTAACCCATAAATATATTTCATGAGCTTACTTACACATATCCTTTCTTAACTTTGCCATTCGCTATTATGTATACATATTTCCTATTATGTATGACGACCCTGTCAGCGGTTAGTAGACGGAGAAGTAAAAAGCTAATTTTTTGATTAATATATATTCAACAATATCATTTAAGAATGTTTTTAAAATTTTTAATCGATATCTGGAAAATTAATATGTTATACAATTTCTAAGGAAACAAGTTTGTATAAGGCGTATGCATAATCTCCAGCTTTAAACGCGTTATTCTCAAAATTGGATGCTCCAATTTAGTGAACATCCTATATTGAGAAGGAACCGAAAAAGTTAACGCAAATTTAAATGCGATCTTTTTAAAAACATGTAGTCCTTCACGATCTGATTTTTAATTTTATTGATTCTATTTCTTTATATTTAAACAAAAGCATCAATAATAAAGTGAAATGAATATTTGCTTGTAAAGATTTATTTTCTTAATAAAATGTTTTTAATGTAATATAATGTTTTTTATTTCATAACATTGTTATAATGACTATGTATTCTAACACTGTTTATCATCATTATACTGTAATCTTTATATTTTGGATGAAAATAATATGGGTAGCATTATTAAAAAATTTAGTACAATTTTAGTATTTACAAAGAACAGTTGCAATGATTCGGTACGCATATTTGATTATTACGAGATTTTAAAGTGTAGTATCATTTCTATAATGAAGAGATTTTGAATTATGTAAAACGAAAGCTTCACTTTTGTAAAATTTTTAATATTATGTATCTATGTGAAAGAGTAAGTTTAGAAGTACAAATATACAATTTGTAATTCTGTTTAATTCTTTTGTATATTGGTATATGCTAGCAATTCTTTCAATGCAATAGTATGGTTGTAACATTTTGAAAACATTGTCCAATCAAATAAGGTGATATTAGTCTTCTCGTTTTATTACTTTTACATTCTTCAAAATGAAAATCATTTTTTTGTCTTCAAGGTCACTTCAAAGAGATGGTATTTATATGCAAAAAAAATACGATACATTGAAAATACTCAAAATGACGTTTAGAGGATTTTTTTATCACCACTAGATGTACACCTTAAAACCATTTGAATCATATTTAGTCATTTTTTCTTACCTTTAATAGTAGCGGAAATAATTTAGATGCTCGATTTAAAATTAACACCCTGTATACGCGGCAAAATGTCACTACGTTAAGTCCAGTATCCACTTATTGCAAATACCTGTAGTGTATTAGGCCAAATGTTGTTCCGTTGTATATCAATATTTGATACGAAGATACGCAACGGGTTTAATCAGGCATTTGTCGGTTTTTTGCCATTGCATCAAAGAAGGGTAATTCCACGCCAAATCATTCATATGTCCTCTACACGTCTACTTACAAAAAAACTATTAACATCAGAATGTGCTCTTCCTGAAACCATTTAACTCTGCGTGAAACATTTTTCGCTACGAATAATAACAGTCACGCAAATTTAAGTGGTAATATCTAGTGAACCACCCTGTATAAATAATTGAATATAACATAATAAAAACTTAAATTTAATGTAACAATAAAATGCAAAACTTAATATTTATCATTTAGTCTTTATATATATATACAGGGTGGGGCATTTAAAACATCTCAATTAGTACCTTATTCTTTCAGCGATATCTGGCATTGGATCATTTTGTAATACTTGGCCGCGGGGAGCGGGGGGTCATCGAGCTTCGAAGTGCGCCGGGCCTCCACCCACTAACATTGGGGATGACGACCGTACAATTATCGTGAGGCGTATTCAGGTCGTTTATACAAGGTTTCCTGTAGTTGGATTAGTACTGATGTATTCCGCGGCTCGCGATTCCTTGCGTTGGTTTATTATATTTAATAGGTACGCGGTAGGAGAGCCTGACGGGAACTGGGGCGAAATAAGGGAGCTATTCTGCGCGTAGTACTATTCGACTTTATTAGACAGTTCAGTGACGTTCGGTGCGTGAAGACCACTAGACAAAAATCTGCTGTTTCGACGGAAAAGGTTTCTAGATATAGGTTCGGTAAGTACGAGAGTAGGGGTTGGTCTCAGAGGTCAATGTAGGGAGAGGCGGTGAGGTCTAGGTTCAGCGATGAGTAAAAGTAAAGGATGATGTGGAGGTCTAGGTTTCGGGGTGACTAACGTTAGGATGATGCGGATTTGTTTACAGTTAAGGAAAGGAGGCAGGATGACTAAAAACTAATGAAAGATAGGGGAGAGGTATACGACAGTACATCGACATATACTTTTTCAAGTTATTATACAATAATTACAGAATACATTCGAGAGGGAAACAATTTTTTGTGGATAAACACTCCGAAAGTATTTGAAGGTCATCTTTGTTCTTTTTCAATAGTTATATATTTTTCAATACACAAGTCAATCCAACTCGTCATTTCCTATAAAAATATATTAAGCTATTTTGCAGAAAAACTATTCGTTGAAGTAAGAAAACTATTCAATTTCAATATTTTACATTAAATATGGCGATTTTTTAACATTTAATCAATATTCACCATGTAAGGGAATTCAAAGGCGCCGTCAAGTCGGGCATTCGGGCGGCCGCACAGTGTTTCGTGCAATGGACAAAAGTAAAAAATCTGAAGTGTTTGATTCATAATCTTTTGTATCTTAAAATGTTAATAAAGGAACGGAGGTTTTAATATTACCCATGACGTTTGCTTAATTTACCATATTGAAGTGAAAAATGATACTAGAAAGGGCCTAGCCGAATAAGCATGGTAAAAGTGCCCCCAAACCGAATCGATCGTGGTGCATATCATTCGATAGACCACTCGAAGAAAACCCTTTCTGCCAAGTATCAAGCTGGTACTCCTACTACTAGGGTAGTAACAGGGTGAAACGCAATTTACAGTTTAAGCTTCATTTCTCTTGTTCTACGCCATGAAAACTTATGAAAAAAATCATGGATATGCTACCCATTGGCATACATGTCTGTGAATTTTTTCAGAATTGTCGACTGCAAAATCGATTTTTAAAAAATTCGGAAAGTTTATAAATGTTGTTTTTATATTAAAATTATCAAACGATCACGTTTATATTTTTACAGTATTAGTGTCTTGTTATGGATATTAATGTGTAATTTTTTCAGATTTTTCAAAGTGGGGGATGGCACCTAGAAAAATCAAAAACCGATGTTCGTTTATATTATTATTTTAATTTTTCGTGTGACCATGTTCATTTTTCTACAGTTTTAGCAGCTTGTTATGGTTATTAATGTATAATTTTTTCAGATTTTTTTGAGAGATATATCATACTTAAAAAACTTATAAACCGATATCTCCGAACCTTTCGAACGCAAAAGAGTGGCAAACTCGTATAATCGACATATTTTATTCATTAAATGGTCATTATATGCAGTTCCAAATACTTTTACATGTATTAAGTTAGTCAATACACTTAATTTGGACATCTTTTTTTTTTTATATACATGGAGGAAATCTTCCAGACACCTCGTCTCTCCTGGAGTGGAGAGGCGAGGTAGTGTGGGATTCTTAACGCGAAACACTGTGGGCCGGCCCGAATGTTTACAGTAACAGGAGTAAGCGATATCGGACCCGAGGAGTACGACGCCACGTGTATCGTAAATCAACCCTCGAGGCTCCTGGCGAGGCACATTTAGCCAGAACAGGTAGAACAGGTGGCTTTCCTCGCCGAAAAGTCTTGCTTAGAGAGTCACACCGTGGGACACCTAACCAAGCTACCCACGCGATACGCAAGACACGCATTCTATTTCAAAGTACGCATTGGTTATTTAATTCACCTTACAACCAGCTACTGCTCAAACATTTTGCGTCACAGAGAAACCTATACTAAGATTATGACTGAATACACAGCATTATTTACCCTAGGAATTAAGATGATTCTAATAAAATTAGGTAATTTACAATATGTCTTTTAAGAATTTAAATGATTTTAAATCGTTCCCTAAATATTGATACTTTTATTTTGTCCGGCTAAATTCATACAACTAGTCACTATTCGTCTATCATAAATCGCTGCATTAACGTACACACAGTAGGTGCGCACACTTTTAGACCACCGCGTAGATTCTCTCCACTCTATGCACTGTTTACGTTGACGTCACTCTTGGGACAAGCCGAAATGGCATTACGACCAATCGCATGCGTTACAACGGTAGGTAGTAGTGGGAACTGCGCAGACGGACGAAAATCGGTCCGAGAGCGAATTTATTCTTATTTTGAACAGAGTGTAGTTTTATTTTTACAACATTTACAAACGCGTGTCGAACACTTCGTTTTACAACCACATTTTATATCTCCATCAGATGTTTGTTTCGTTATTCCGCGATCAAGCGAATAATCTTTTGTTACATTCTAAATATAGAAATTGTAGCATTATTAATACAATACAAAATTTTATTGTTCCTTTTTATTTCAATGAATTACCAAAAGTTTTTGAATGCGATTATAAAGTGGCGTGTTTGTCCAATCCGGATCTGTTATTCGACATCATCATCTTCAATAATATCATCTGTTGGAGGGATTCATCTTCTCTCGTTAACCTTTCACGAACTTTTGATTTTTATTTATTTTGGCTGTTGTTGGTTTTTTTCAAAACCGGAAAAATTCATGAAACTGTTCTAACATCTTTATTGGAAATCTTAGTAATGAAATTTGTTACCATGTACTAACTATTTTCTCCAGCTGTTGGCATTCTTCTTGATAAGACTTCGAATCTTCCTCCAGCTTAATGTTTTCTTCAGCTTCATATTCTTTAACACTACATGTGTTAATAAATAAACATGCGTCTTTCTTTTTTTTTTGCACGATACTCTTCCAATTGTGCTTGTAATAATTCATGTTTCTCCTAAAATTATGTTTGTTATTACATCAATAATAAAAGTTATAAGTTAAAAAATTACTGTCAAATTAAAATAAAGGAATTATGTATATTACAGCAGTTCCGTGTT